ATAATAAATTATTACAAAGGTATTTTTCTCCATTAAAGTAATTGTTTCATCTAGCTTTAATTTAATAAAAAAAATGAACATAAATTGTAGTGATCTAGTTTTTAATATACTTCTCCCACATAGTACGAACAATTTCTTCAAGTTGAATTTGCATTTTTCGATCATTTGACTGAGAAAACGAACCAACATTGTTACTTTGAGCCATTTGTTGGTTAATATCATCGTAACTATATTTCATGTTTATAGACCATAAATATTTCATCACTTTAACGATCGATTGATGTGAGTTAAAGTGATTATATGTTGGTGAGAATAATAAATTTTATGTTGGTAAGAATAATAATTTTAAAAATTTATAATGTGATTATAAATTTTATTTACATATGAAATAAATGCTTAGTAGATATAAATGTGGGGTTTTTTTAACAAAATATAAACTTGTTGATCAATTTTTGTAGAGAAAAGACATACAGGCACCATCAAAGTTGTTCCGTATTTGTGTAAAGACACCTTAACTTTTAAAGTGTCCTATTACCCCACAGAACTAATTAATTTCTTTGTAAATGGGTTATTTTGACTCATTTTCTCGTCTATGTAGTGGCGCGTGTTGCTCAACTCCCTATGATCTAATTCAACCCGACCCGACCCGACCCTATTCTTTAAAGAGAAGTCATCTTCTCCATTTCTTTTCTTCTCTGTTTGGCTTGCACATTCAAGAAATTTTCGTTAATTTTTCTTCATTCGAATTTTTTTTTATTCAGCTATGGAGTTAGGTGACAACAAAATTTTGAATGTGGGATTGCTATTAGTTGCAACCCTTTTGGTAGCAAAACTCAGACCTAAATAACTCACACATTTATGCTAACTCAGAAAAAACCCATGCGTAACACTTTCTTGCACATTGCAAGAAAAGTTAATGCAGATCCATTGACAACAGTTCCTCCATTAACCATTTCTTGTTCATCATGTTCCATTGGCCAACTTGTGGCAGACAATCTTTTTCTCAGCCATTATGGCCAGTTGTGATGCTTAGACAGGAGCATCCATAGCTTGGAAGTGTTTATTTTGAATTTATTGAACAAGAAAATCACATTCTTCATTGATCCAAAAGTTCCTCGCCAATAGTGGTGTCTTATTTTCTTAGAGAAGATGATGAAGTGGTCAAACAAAGAGTATCAACGTTGATTTTGCTATGGAAAAAACTATGAAATTGAAAAATTAGGGCTAAAAATGATTATTTTGGGTTTAAATTTGGGGAAGATGACATAAATTGAAAAATAATTAATAATAAAGAAAAATAATGACAGATGGCACCTTTAAACTGGTCCATGGCAGTAAAAATAATGCATGACGCGCCTCATGTGCGTGGTAACAACTCAGACTAGGAAATGGGTCAAAATGGTCCATTTACAAAGAAATTAAATAGTTCTGTGGGGTGATAGGACACTTTAAAAGTTAAAATGTCTTAATGCAAATATAGGACAACTTTGATGGTGTCTTTATGTCTTTTCTCATTTTTGTATTGAAATATCTCAAATCATGGTATGAAATCACCATGTAATTCCATATCATGCTTTTTGGAGAATATGGAATTATATCTCATGAGATGGAATCAGCGTATAATCGCATGTCCAGACGATTACATCTTCCGATACCATATCGTGATACGGTATCGCATGACCAAACGCTTACTTAGAGTCTCATGCTCCTAGAAGAATTTGAGATTACTTGTTATATCATGTTGCATAACAGGGGTGTATCTAAGTTTAGTTATTCAAGTAGAGACGTGCTTTTAAAACTGTCAATAGTTTGTGAAAGAAACTAATAATTTGCATTAAGTAACTAAACCCACTTAATATATATTTATTTTAAATTCTTTTTACAAGCTTTAATTATTTATTACTAAAATAATACTCTCATCTTATTTAACTTAAATATTTTTAATTGTGCATTTCCTTGATTATACCGCGTGTTTGAAATAAAACTTCATCGAATTTTGTTTAAAAATAAAAGTTCCTTCTTAAGTTTGTTAATAATTTTTTTCATTATTATTTATATCACCCATAAATTGTAAAATATAAATAAACATAAAAATTAGTCAAATAAATTCATAAATAAAATTATATTATATCATATAATTTTTTAATGGAAAAATATGAATTGTCATCAACATAAAGAGTAGTTAAAACTGTGAATGTTACTAAAATAATATGAATATACGTGGATGTAAAAACGGAGGTATAAAAAGAATTTAAGGGAATATTTTTGTCATTTCAATCTGTTTTATTTCGGGATAAGTTATCGACATTACTATTCCCCCTAAGGAGAGGGATAACTCAATATTCATTACTTAATTTCCAGACAAGATATGTTGAACTTGTCAACCAAATAGAGGGATGAGGCATAAGTACGCTCAACACTATGATCGAAATTTTAAAAACATACTTTAACTAAATTATAATATCCAAAAATTCAAATCAATCTTTTTTATAATTTTATACAACTTTTCGATCTACATAGACTCCAAACATCTCTCGCGCACTTTTACTAAGTGAAATCACAGATGTGTCACATAAATCAAAAAAAATATACAAAAGTAATGGTGATATAGAACACAAATATCCACCTAGATTATAATCAGAACTTTAGAAACATGTATTAATTAAATAATATAATAAAAATATAATTTAATCCGAGGATAACATTATCGCAAGACTATTTAACAGTGTACTAATCAATTACCGAACACCCCCCTAAGTTGAATTTAATATATTTAGCGAAGACTAAAAGCGAAGAGGGCACATTAAAGCATCGGAGTCGGGTGTAGAAACTGACTTCTCGTGATATACAGGGGCGGAATAGTATCAACAACACTTTGAAACCTCTATTTAAATAATACTTATATTCTTTTCGTTTTAATTTAACATAAAATTTAATTTTTAAATTCTAAATTAAAAATATACTAAAATATTTTTTTAACATTATAACTGTAAACGTATCATATGAAAAATTATAACTAAATAATTATTTTTTAAAAATTATAATTTTTTAAATATAACGTAAAAATAATAAGACAAGCGAATCTAAATAAAAAAGGTATATATATATATATATATATATATATATATATAG